TTCCCCATTTTTCCCAAATTTCCCATTTCCCCCCAGAATCCCCCACATTTCCCACAAAATCCCCTCAATATCTCCCAAAATCCACCCAAATTTCCCCCAAAATTCCCAAAATACCCTAAAATTCCAGAATTTTCCCAAAATTCCCCAAAATCCCAAAAAGTTTCCCTAAAACTCCTAAAAATTCCCAATTTTCCCCAAAATTCCCTCTTTTTTTCCCAAAAATCCCTAAAAAATCCCCATAATTTTCTCCAAAATTTCCTAATTTTTTGTCAAAATCCCCCCAAAATTCCCAATTTTTTCCCCAATTTTCCCAAAATTCCCATTTTTCACCCCAAATTCCCGTTTTTCCGGTACCTTCTGCACGCTGAGGGTGATTTGACCCCCCTGGAACCCCCCGGAGCTGCCGGAGCCGTAGGAACCCGAGGTCAGCTGGGAAAAGGGAGAAAATGGGTCAAAATCACCCAAAATTGGGAAAAAATCACCCAAAATTGGGGAAAATCACCCAAAATTGGGGAAAATCAACCAAAATCCATCACAGGGGGAAAAATGGCTCAAAATAAAAAAAAAAAGGGAAAAATCGACCCAAAATTGGGGAAAATTCACCCAAAAATGGCCCAAATTGACCCAAAATTGGGAAAAATTCACCCAAAATCCACCCCTGGGGAGAAAACAGCTCAAAACAAAAAAAAGGGCAAAATTGACCCAAAATTGGGGAAAATCAACCCAAAATTGGCAAAAATTGATCCAAATTGACCCAAAATTGGGCAAAATGACCCAAAATTGGGAAAAATCGACCAAAAATTGACCCAAAAATGGCCCAAATTGACCCAAAGTTTGGCTCAAATTGACCCAAAGTTGGGCAAAATTGACACAAAAAAGGCCCAAATTGACCCAAAATTGGGGAAAATTGACCCAAAAATGGGAAAAATTGACCCAAAAATGGCCCAGATTGACCCAAAATTGGGGAAAATTGACCCAAAATCCACCCCAGGTGAGAAAATGGCTCAAAATGACCCAAAAATGACCCAAAATTGACCCAAAATTGGGAAAAATTGACCCAAAAATGGCCCAAATGCACCCAAAATTGGGCAGAATGGACCTAAAATCCATCCCAGGTGAGAACAGGTGACACAGGTGTGTCCCAAATGTGCCCGGGTGTGTTCCAGGTGTATCTCAGGTGTGTTTTTACACACTCAGGTGTATCTCAGGTGTATTTCCCCCTCCCCAGGTGTCCTTTTACCTGTCCCAGGTGTATTTTTACACACTCAGGTATATCCGAGGTGTGTTCAGGTGTATTTTCCCCTCTCCAGGTGTGTTTTTACCTGTCCAGATGCACTCAGGTGTATCCCAGGTGTATCCCAGGTGTATTTTCCCCTCTCCAGGTGCGTTTCCCCTGTCCCAGGTGTGTTTTTATCTTCTCAGGTGTATCCCAGGTGTATCCAGGTGTATTTTCCCCTCCCCAGGTGTGTTTTTACCTGTCCCAGGTGTATTTTTACCCCCTAAGGTGTATCCCAGGTGTATCCCAGGTGTGTTTTTACACACTCAGGTGTATCCCAGGTGTATCCCAGGTGTATTTTCCCCTGCCCCAGGTGTATTTTTATCCCCCCAGGTGTATCCCAGGTGTATTTTATCACACTCAGGTGTAGCCCAGGTGTATTTTCCCCCTCCCCAGGTGTGTTTCACCCTCTCCAGGTGTATTTTCACCTGTCCCAGGTGTATTTTACCTTTCCAGGTGTATTTTTACACACTCAGGTGTATCCCAGGTGTGTCCAGGTGTATTTTTACACACTCAGGTGTATCCCAAGTGTATCTTAGGTGTATTTTTACCTGTCCAGGTGTAGTTTTATCCCCTCAGGTGTATCCCAGGTGTATCCCACGTATCTCGGGTATATTCCAGGTGTGCCCAGGTGTATCCCAGGTGTGTTTTTACCTGTCCCAGGTGTATTTTTACACACTCAAGTGTATCCCAGGTACACTCAGGTGTACCCCAGGTGTATTTTCACCTGTCCCAGGTGTGTTTTACCTGTCCCAGGTGTATTTTTACCTGTCCAGGTGTTTCCCAGGTGTATTTTCCCCCTCCCCAGGTGTGTTTTCACCTGTCCCAGGTGTGTTTTACCTGTCCAGGTGTACCCCAGGTGTATTTTTACCTGTCCCAGGTGTATTTTTACACACTCAGGTGTATCCCAGGTGTATTTTCACCTGTCCCAGGTGTATTTTTCCCTCCTCAGGTGTATCCCAGGTGTGTTTTTACCCCCTCAGGTGTATCCCAGGTGTATTTTCACCTGTCCCAGGTGTATTTTACCTGTTCCAGGTGTATTTTCACCTGTCCCAGGTGTATTTTACCTGTTCCAGCGCCTCGGCCAGGTGTCTGTCCAGCCGCCCCTCGCGTTTCCTCAGTTTGGCGCTGTCCCACTGCAGCCCCTCCAGCGTCGTCCCCATTTCCAGAACCTTCGTCTCGGCCGACGTGGCTTTGTCCTGCAGCTCGGCCAGCTGGGACAGGTGACACAGGTGACACAGGTGACACAGGTGACACAGGTGAGGGGAAATTCCCAAAAAAACGGTGAAAAAATGGGTCAAAAATACCCAAAAATGGGGCAAAAATGGCCCAAAAATGGCTCAAAAATGGCCCAAATCCACCCAAAATTGGGCTGAATGGACCCAAAATCCATCCCAGGTGACACAGGTGACACAGGTGAGACAGGTGAGACAAGTGACACAGGTGACACAAAATTCCCAAAAAAATGGGTGAAAATGGCTCAAAAACTACCAAAAAATGGCTCAAAAACTACAAAAAAATGGCTCAGATTGACCCAAAAATGGCTCAGATTGACCCCAAATCCACCCAAAATTGGAGCCAGGTGGGACAGGTGACACAGGTGACACAGGTGACACAGGTGACACAGGTGACACGGGTGACACAAAATTCCCAAAAAAAACGGGGAAAAAATGGCTCAAAAATGGCTCAAAATGGCTCAAAAACCAGAAAAAAATGGCTCAAAACCACTCAAAAATGGCCCAAATCGACCCAAAATTGGGCTGAATTGACCCAAAATCCATCCCAGGTGAGACAGGGGAGACAGGTGACACGGGTGACACAAAATTCCCAAAAAAAATGGGGAAAAAATGGCTCAAAAACCACACAAAAATGGCCCAAATTGACCCAAAATTGGGCTGAATGGACCCAAAATCCATCCCAGGTGACACAGGTGAGACAGGGGAGGGGAAATTCCCACAAGAAATGGCCAAAAAATGGCCCAAATTGACCTCAAAGCCACAGGTGGGACCCTCCCAGTTTATCCCAGTATAAACCAGTATAAACCAGTTCCCATTTTCACCCCTAAAATCCCCGTTTTTCACCCCAAAACCGCCGCGTTTTTTCCCCCCAGTATAAACCAGTATAAACCAGTATAAACCAATTCCCATTTTCACCCCTAAAATCCTCATTTTTCACCCTTAAAATCCTTTTTTTCACCCCTAAAATCCCATTTTAACCCCTAAAATCCCCATTTTTTGCCCCAAAACCGCCGTGTTTTTTCTTCCCAGTATAAACCAGTATAAACCAGTATAAACCAGTATAAACCAGTATAAACCAGTCCATCCCAGTCCCTCCCAGTATAAACCAGTTCCCATTTTCATCCCTAAAATCCCCATTTTTCACCCTTAAAATCCGATTTTTACTCCTAAAATCCCCGTTTTTCACCCCAAAACCGCCGGAATTTTTCCTCCCAGTATAAACCAGTATAAACCAGTATAAACCAGTCCAAACCAGTATAAACCGGTACCTCCAGCGCCTCCCTGTGGTGTTTTTCCTGCAGTTGCTGAGTCAGCACCAGTCCATCCCAGTACAAACCAGTTCCATTTTTTTACCCCTAAAATCCCCGTTTTTCACCCCAAAACCGCCGGGATTTTTCCTCCCAGTCCCTCCCAGTATAAACCAGTATAAACCAGTTCATCCCAATTCCATCCCAGTCCCTCCCAGTATAAACCAGTTCCCATTTTTCACCCCTAAAATCCCATTTTTTACCCCTAAAATCCCCATTTTTACTCCTAAAATCCCCATTTTTCACCCCAAAACCACCGGGTTTTTTCCTCCCAGTATAAACCAGTATAAACCAGTATAACCCAGTCCCTCCCAGTATAAACCAGTTCCCATTTTCACCCCTAAAATCCTCATTTTTTATCCTTAAAATCCGACTTTCACCCCTAAAATCCCCGTTTTTCACCCCAAAACCGCCGGGATTTTTCCTCCCAGTCCCTCCCAGTATAAACCAGTATAAACCAGTATAAACCAGTTCCCATTTTTCAGCCTAAAATCCCCATTTTTTATCCTTAAAATCCCATTTTTTACCCCTAAAATCCCCATTTTTCACCCCAAAACCGCCGCGTTTTTTCCTCCCAGTATAAACCAGTATAAACCAGTATAAACCAGTATAAACCAGTATAAACCAGTATAAACCAGTATAAACCAGTATAAACCAGTATAACCCAGTCCCTCCCAGTATAAACCAGTTCCCCATTTTTCCCCATAAAATCCAATTTTTTATCCTTAAAATCCCATTTCTAACCCCTAAAATCCCCGTTTTTCACCCCAAAACCGCCGCGGTTTTTTCCTCCCAGTCCCTCCCAGTATAAACCAGTATAAACCAGTATAAACCAGTCCCTCCCAGTATAAACCAATTCCCATTTTCACCCCTAAAATCCAATTTTTTATCCCTAAAATCCCATTTTCACCCCTAAAATCCCCGTTTTTCACCCCAAAACCGCCGGGTTTTTTCCTCCCAGTATAAACCAGTATAAACCAGTATAAACCAGTATAAACCAGTATAAACCAGTATAACCCAGTCCATCCCAGTATAAACCAGTTCCCATTTTTCAGCCTAAAATCCCCATTTTTTATCCTTAAAATCCCACTTTTTACCCCTAAAATCCGCATTTTTCACCCCAAAACCGCCGCGTTTTTTCCTCCCAGTATAAACCAGTATAAACCAGTATAAACCAGTATAAACCAGTATAAACCAGTCCCTCCCAGTATAAACCAGTTCCCATTTTCACCCCTAAAATCCAATTTTTTACCCCTAAAATCCCCATTTTTTGTCCCTAAAATCCCCATTTTTCACCCCAAAACCGCCAGGTTTTTTCCTCCCAGTATAAACCAGTATAAACCAGTATAAACCAGTATAAACCAATCCCTCCCAGTATAAACCAGTATAAACCAGTATAAACCAGTATAAACCAGTCCCTCCCAGTATAAACCAGTTCCCCATTTTCACCCCTAAAATCCCATTTTTACCCCTAAAATCCCCATTTTTCACCCCAAAACCGCCAGGTTTTTTCCTCCCAGTATAAACCAGTATAAACCAGTATAAACCAGTATAAACCAGTACCTGCAGCGCCTCCCTGTGGTGTTTTTCCTGCAGTTGCTGAGTCAGCACCAGTCCCTCCCAGTATAAACCAGTTCCCATTTTCACCCCTAAAGTCCAATTTTTTACCCCTAAAATCCCATTTTTTGTCCCTAAAATCCCCATTTTTCACCCCAAAACCGTCGCGTTTTTTCCTCCCAGTATAAACCAGTATAAACCAGTATAAACCAGTATAAACCAGTATAAACCAATTCCCGTTTTTACCCTAAAATCCACATTTTTATTCTTAAAATCCCATTTTTTACCCCTAAAATCCCCGTTTTTCACCCCAAAACCGCCGGGTTTTTTCCTCCCAGTACAAACCAGTATAAACCAGTATAAACCAGTATAAACCAGTATAAACCAATTCCCATTTTCACCCCTAAAATCCAATTTTTTACCCCTAAAATCCCCGTTTTTCACCCCAAAACCGCCGCGTTTTTTCCTCCCAGTATAACCCAGTATAAACCAGTATAACCCAGTATAAACCAGTATAAACCAGTATAAACCAGTATAAACCAGTATAACCCAGTCCCTCCCAGTATAAACCAATTCCCATTTTTCAGCCTAAAATCCCCATTTTTTATCCTTAAAATCCCATTTTCACCCCTAAAATCCTCATTTTTCGCCCCAAAACCGCCGGGTTTTTTCCTCCCAGTATAAACCAGTATAAACCAGTATAAACCAGTATAAACTAGTCCCTCCCAGTATAAACCAGTCCCCATTTTTCAGCCCTAAAATCCAATTTTTTACCCTTAAAATCCCCATTTTCACCCCTAAAATCCCCGTTTTTCGCCCCAAAACCGCCGGGATTTTTCCTCCCAGTATAAACCAGTACAAACCAGTATAAACCAGTATAAACCAGTATAAACCGGTACCTCCAGCGCCTCCCTGTGGTGTTTTTCCTGCAGTTGCTGAGTCAGCTCCTGCAGCCGTCGGTGCTCCCGGAGCAGCTCCCGGAGCAATTCCCGGCCCGG